AGATTTAAAAAAAAAAAAAAAAAAAAACACAACATGTACACAAGAAAAGTGGCTTGTTCCTAATTATTATTTACACTTTATTAATCAAGTCGTTTTCTTTAAACATACTTCATAGAGAGATTCTTTCTATGTCCACTGTTTCTTTGATCAGTCAAACCCAAAAGTTTGTTTAAATTACACTGATCTGTTTAAAAATGCTGATATACTGAAATCCCATTTTTTTCTGTGGAAGTCCTGTGAAAAAAATATTGCCTACATATCACTTTCACGATTGTTACATTCATGTTTGTAATTGTTTCCATTTTCTAAGGCCTCAGCCTGCCCGCTGGAAAATGTAAGTGCAGAGAACATGCTACCACGTCTGGTCTCGTAGCTTTTAGTTCTCCTGAATCTCTGATGCCACAGTTCTAAAGCTTTCTTCCGAAAGTCTTTACAAGCAAAATAATAAAGGAAAGGGTCCACGCAGCTGCTTAAGCAGCTAAGCGTAAGTGAGAGTTTGTAAGCATGGTAGTAGCTTTTGTCAAAAAACAGGCGAAAAATTGTATGTATAAGAAGAATGAAATTGTTGGGAGCAAAACAGGTGATAAATATTATGAGCACAAATATGGCAAGGTTGATTGATCTCCTCTCTTGCCCAGTTCCATGTCTGTTGGATGTCTGAATCAGCTTGCGAATGATGTGAACATAACAAACAATAGTTACTATAGAGGGAACTAGGAATAAAATAAAAAAAAGTACAATAATGAAGGCTGCCCAGGAAATTATGTTGGGTAGCATGGTCCACTTGAGAACATCAAAACATGTTGTTTTGTTTAGATGTTTGACTTCATAGGTTAAGTCGGTAGATTCCATTGGATAGAATGCAGCCATCAACACAATCCAAATGGAAATAATCGCCCCAACAGCATATCTTTTTCTCCTCCACACACTTGACTTCATTGGATGGACAACACCCAAGTAACGTTCCACGCTGATCAACATGATTGTCAGTATTGTGCAGTACATGTTCACATAAAACATGATGGTCACCACATTACAGAGATCTTTACCAAAAATCCAATTATTCCCATTATAATGGTAGTTTATTTGGAAAGGAAGAACTATGGCAAGGGCAAGGTCTGTGATGCTCAGATTGATCATGAGAATGATTAAGGATGTTATTGGTTTAGTGTGAAATATTAAAATCCATAGTGAAATAATATTGCCCGGAACACTAATTGAAACCACCAGTGAATATACAACAGGTAAGGCAATCCAGATGAGGTTATTCTCAAGCATAGCTAAAGTTTCATTGTCTGGTGAGGAATCATTGGGTAAGCTGTACAGGTTCATAGTGGCTCAAGGTTAAGATCGTTTCACTGACATTTGAAGAAAGAACCCTGCAAAAAGAAAATAAAAAGATGTAAACTTGCAGAAAATCCATATTTTAAGCATTATATTAAATAAACCAAAATATACCATACCACTCTACTATATAGTGACATACAGTGTTAAATAACATTGGGATTGATGTATTAAAACGGCAGAGAATTTTCACTTTGCAAAATAAGAAGGTAAAGCCCAACAATTTTTGGTATTGTGGGCCAAAAAAAAACAAAAAGACCTTCAATGAACCACTGCAAAGCACAGTAGATCTTTATGAGAACACAAGGTATCTACATATCTCACTTCCATTAGCAATACCAAAGACAAGTTTGAGCTACAAACCAACAGCTCTAGATGCACAGTTGGCCAAGGAGCAGAAATAAATGATTTACATGTCTCTGCCCACTATCCTGGATGCACAGTTGACCAAGGAGCAGAAAGGAATGATTTTCTTGACTCTGCCCACTATTGGTGATGGAACTGAGACACCATTGTTTTTTTATGAAGCCTTACCGGTTTTCACTTTGCATTATGCAAATAAACCCTCATGTACTTTAGTGGATAAACAGAATGTAGATAGAGGGTAGGTTGACGTCAGTCATCCAATCATGTACAAAACATATACGGTTTTTTGTTTTGTTTTTTCCCTTGCACCTGACTGAATAGTCAAAGTAAACATAGATTGAACATATTAACTAGGCTATAGTAAATAAATAGTCATTACTCATTTGGTGTTGAATGAAAGTATCCTAGCACAATAGTCACAACATTAATTCTGTATGCTGAGGCCACAATTGTAAATATGCTCAATCCTTCAGAAAAGATGGCAAATATCCTTTAGCCATCTAAGGAAATCCAGGTAGTTATACTAAGAAAGAAAGAAAGAAAGAATAAAAGAAAGAAAGAAAGAAAGAAAGAAAAATATAAAGTTGAGAATCCTTTTTAGTATTATTATTTTCTAGTACTGCAAATATTTTAATTAATAAGTGAAAGCCAATGGCAGGTTCTATTTAGTAACTCCAAGGATGAGAGGTTGAGTGCATTGATTTTAATGAGTCAGCCAACTCAAAGATTTGCATGAAAAGGAACAGTAAATTAGAAGTATCTGCAAAGCAGCATGCAATGTGCAAATATGGCTACATACAATACAGCCAATACAGCCTATATACAGAAATAAGGTTTTTAATATTAACACTACTTGTTCGGATTACTTACATGAAGCGAATCTCTTTTACATTGATACCTACAAAAATTAACCTCCCAAAGGACTCCAAAAAGTGACATTTTGGATGGTAGATGTGTTGTTTGTCTGTCTGGGAGTCATCCCCGTAATTCGGGATGGGAAATTATGGGCTTATCCCCTTTTACCACACATATGGGGACGGTCGGCATCTCTATATCGCCCTATCTCCCTATTCTCGGGGGAGGGGCGGTATGATTGCCGTTCTCCCAAGGTGCTACATCTTCTCATCACGCTCACATAGGGAGGGCTCTGCCTAGCATGGTTGTGAGATGGGACGGTGTTGGGAGGTTCCTGCCATACAGAGAGACCTTGGGAGGGAAGTGGCCTCGCAGAGAGGCGGGGCACCTCCATTCAGATGCGC